GAGCAGGATACCAAATGAAATTTTTTTTTGGTTGTACCATAATTGCTTCCCATTGTACTTATTTATCTGGGAAAACAAAATGATTTATAGTTACAGTTCCATAAAGGAAAATCACTTATATCTATTTTACAGTGATAAATGCATTCCATGGTAGATGTCCCATTACTCCCATTCCTTTGCATCGGTATCCTCAACTCATACTTTGGTGGTCTTCTACTACCTCTTGCTAAGAGCCATCCACAACTAATGCTCTGTCAGAACAAGTGTTATGTCACACACAAAGAACAGTTTAATGTATGTCAGCCTTTTAGAGTCCAGATGTAATTTTTGGACACATGATCACAATGCAGGACCACATCAAATTAGCCTCCCTTTCAGGCAAGCAGCATACCCTCCTATCTATGCACATTTTTTGGCATTTATGCATTTTGCAAAAAAAATATTTTAAACATCTCTGTCAGTACTGGTGGAAATAAGGAACCTTCACAAAATAAACATCAGGAAAAGTTCATTATAGTTAAATGCCTAGGCTCGGTCCAGAGTGTGGAGTCATAGGGACAGACACTGCAGGACAAATCTCAGTGCACATGTACTGACTATTTGTAGCAGTGAGCCAATGCTTTATATCCTGTATAACTGCCTCATCCATTACACGTTCTTTGGTAGGCTGCTTTGCTCTGTTTCATTAACTTTTAAACAAACTTGGTCTTTTTGAGCTTTCCTGCTGTGATCTGCTAGAAATCTGCCACAGTTTACACTGCCAAAATCTCAGTTTAATAGCCTGAACAGTATGACTGCTTCTCAGATCTCAAAACTGTCCATTTCAGATATTTAAATAAAATATGAATTCCCCAAAAGTCAACAGCAACTGGAATGTGATTAGTAAAACTGCTGGCAAAGCATTGCTTTGAACTGGATTAGCTTGGTCCCAGTTCCTTGGTTTTGTACCAAGCACAATGAAGGCCAGCATGATGTATGCTTCTGTCATCTGGACATGTCCAGCTGTAGCTGAAGACAAAAATCAGCTATGTCTCAACTAATTGCCTCTCTGGCTTATGACTCACTATCTACAGCTCTGTATGAATTCAAATCTGAGAAATAGTTGGATATAGTGTGAATAAAATGTATGCTCTGTATGTGTTGTATGACTGTTAGCAGACATTGACAGAGTAACCAATTTCTCTTTACTGAAGAAATTAAAAAAGAGCTGATTGTTTTAAAGAATCACACTGCTTTCTTAGCTATCTTAAAATTTAAATATAACTTTCTTAGGTATCTTAAATTTAAAATATAGATGCTATATTACATCTCCAGTAAGCCTAATTTAAAACTGAAGATATACAGTAATATTTTTAGGAGAGGGAGTGGAGCAAGGGTGAAAATCCAAGCAAATGGGAGCCCAACTCAGAGAGTGGACTCTGTAGCCTGGAAGTGCTTAAATTCCCTCCTGTGCATTGGGAAAAGGAGAGCATAGGAGGAGAATGTGGAAGGAGAACAAGGTGACTCAGGAAGGTAACCCAAAACTAAATGGAAACAGAGTTGTCATCTAGAGCTAGCCAGTGGGGAATGCCAGAGGTCTATGCCTGCTTCCCTGAAGGACATATGAGGGAGGCAGGCATGGACCTCATGAGCCCGGGCTCATGTTATGAAGAATTTTAATGCTGCTCATTGTCAGCTGAGATGATACAATTAGGAAAGCCTTTTGTATAGAAGACCATTGTGTGGTCCACCTGTCAAGAAGAGAAGGGGAGTTGTTAGCACTAGAAGACTCTGAAATAAGAACAAAAATTGCTGTTGTTGGAAAGATGGGTTGAATAAGCAAACAAGCATTTGGGGATCTCAGTGAAAGAAGTAAATGACCTTATGGGTAGTGATAGACATAGCTATTTCTATTATTTGTAGTGCCAGAAAAAGAATGAAGTAAGTCTGAGTGAGGATAGGATAGAATCCAGTGGGTAGCTTCAATGTTTTGCTTCACAGTATTTATTTGCCTACTCTGTTAAACCAAAAGGGTTTTTCAAACTTCTTTCAAGATTTTACCTGTCTTGTAATGTGTTGCCTGCTATTCTGCTGAGTGATATATAAATAGATAATAATTTTAACTTTAATTTTAAATCATTATTAATAGCTCTTTGGGACAAATGTTTTACAGACTTTTTCTATTTTTATGCTGAGTGGGGAAGAAGAGGTGAGTCTAGGGAAGGGGAGAGAGAATGTGAAAAAATACCTTCAGCTATTCTTAAGTCATGGAAAAATATGCACTTTTCCACTGGAGAAAGTTTTAACTTTTTGAAAACTGCAAAAAAAAAAAAAAAAGAATAAAGTTTGAAACTTGAAACAACGTAGGCTTCTGAATTACAGAGATTTAACACTTTCTTTGAAAGCAAAGCATCCCAAAAGAGCTACATTTAAGTGAGCACAATTTCTGAGCACAATCACTCACAATTCCTTAAACTTTAGCAAGTCATATTACTACTGGTCTCTATTTGTGAAACCACTGCACATTCATTCTTCCCATTTGGCCTCACCAGAGGACTTATAAAAAAAAATGCTGCTGAAGTAATTTGCCAGTGGGAGATTTTTAGTTGCCTTTGTAAAACATACACAGTTAATTTCTGCAAATCCCAGTGAATTATGAACACTTGCTGGTGGAAAATCAGAAACCTTAATGTGTGTGTGTGTGTATGCATATATATATAAAGTTCCCCTGGGTTCTTCCAGTAGAAGTTAGACATAAAGATTTACTCACGGTTAGTGATACTGAAGCCAAAACAATCCAGGCTGGATAAATGAGGATATGGTAAATCTCAAATGCTAACTGTTTTGTTGAACCTCACTATATTTCAGAAATTTTACAAGTCTTTCTTACTGGTTGCAGTTGCTATAGTTAAAGGTTTCAAAGTGAAAAAGAAAATGCTAAGATTGACTCTTCATAGTTCTCTTTTCTTCCTACCTATAAAACTTTCCAACCCAAAGTTACTGCAGACTGTAACTGGAAGTTGGATTCTTCTGGCATCGTAAGCTGTGATTAATAAATATTTCCTCCTGCCCAGTCCTTGAATTTCAGACCAGTCAACTGGTTTAGTCTGGCTGCAGTGTGTGTGAAGGAGTGAGAAGAGGAATTCAATAGGAGTGGGAAGGGGCTCAGGATACCCACTTGGGCTGTGTGTGGTGCCTGGAGTTGGCAGAGGGATAGGTTTGGCTAAGGAGAGAGCCTAAAATGATGGGGGATGAGCAAGTCCTGACTGAGAGGTGCAAGTAGCTGTGTTGGTAAACACAACAACCAAATTGAAACCAAAGTTCAGGAGAGATGGTGGTGGGTGTTGTATGGACTGAAGGGTCAACCCCCTTGCCATGCAGGGTTCATCTCTGCAGCTAATGAAGGATCAAATCAATATGAAAGACTAGGAAAAAAAGATTTATCCATCAGAGTGAAAATAAAAATCTGTGTAATTTACCTTTATTTCAGAGGGTTTATACAGAACAACAGGAGGTGAATTCTAGCTAATGCAATTCAGGTGTGAGCATCTCTTTGTGTTGGGGTGAAAGGGTCCTGAAAGGATAAGCAGAAAACTCTCCCTTTTCCCCGTGGATCTTGTCTGGAGCAACACATGTTTTAAGCTTTTTCTTTGGGTTTTGGCTGACGAAAGGCTGTTGTATTTGTGTCCCTTTGCAAAAAGGACAAATATTCTCACTTCTTTTTAATTTGTTGTCTTGAAACAGCATAAGACAAATGTTTAAGAATGACTGTGAGGAATAGACCACAGAAAGAGTTATTATCAATTGTTGTCAATGTACTTATAAACAATTGGGAGATTTTTATGTATTGAGGATTCCTTTTAATTTTATTTCATAATCCAGTCTAGATGAACTGTGTTGTTTTATGACTCTTAAACTCTTTTACAAGACTAGCTAGTGGCAAAAATTACATTTGTTATTTACCAAACTATTTTATATTGTAATACATAGTGGTGCTTCTTTTCTAGGATTAAATAGAACTCTAATATATTTAATTAAGAAATGTGTGTTAGTATTTGTAGTTTTTATTATAGATAACCAAGTTATATGTCCTATATATGTTTAGGATGTCTTATTTATTATTTGGATTAATTAAGTATTTCAGTAATAGTCACATGTTAAAGATAGATTCTCTATTTAATTTGAATTCCTGATGCTTATGGGATGCATCTACTTAGTATTATGCAGCTGTTTTGATTTGTGAATTATAATTACTTGCAATTGTTCCACACATACAACTAAGCAAAGTCTGTGTTTGTCTATGACATAATAAATGACTGGAAAAAAACCCAAACAGGAAGTGCTAAAATTTTAGATACAGCTGTATATTTAAAATCCAATATCAGAGAAGAATGACGAAGAGCTCATGGATCTGTATTTAGCAGTGGTAGTTAAATTACATAATCCTATATAGAATCATAGAATCAACCAGGTTGGAAGAGACCTCAAAGATCGAGTCCAACCCTACCGTGATTACTAGAGAAAATGGAGTTAATATAAAATATATTAAAAATATATTATTTCCCTTAAAGCTTCAAAATAAGATTTCTGAAGATGGTGGTACTATGAAAACAAGAGATGATGGAATTTAAAAAGAGGAAAAAATAGTCTTGTCAGTCTTGTTAACACTATGATAGAATGAATGCATATTGGAGCCCCTGGAAATTGCACTTTATAGTTTTAAACACGTAAGGATTCAGTGACCCTTAAGTCAGATTAAAACATAAGTAAGAGGAAAACATTTTAAGCTCATGGAGGTGTTTGTTTCTCTATTTATCCTACAGCAGCTATAGCTATAGCTTTTGCTTTATGTGCTACTTCTATGTAACTTAATTTTAGTTCTCTTTAATTTTAACTTTGAAATAAATATTACTTTTTTAAATCTGTCTCATTATATTTATTAACCTTCCAAAACATTTGGTAACACTTGTTATTTGTTCCAGGTAATGGTAATTTTAGTGGTTTTTTTTCCTTTCTTCCAGGTGTGTTAGAAAAAACATGCTTTTATTCAAATGGAAGTGAGGTCCTCACAGTTAATGGTGACTTTGAAACATATGATGATCTTTTGCCAAACATAGTTGAAAACAGTTCCAAGACTGATCCCAGAATGGATCTCAGCACAGAGTCCTCTTCCTGGGCCACGACGCCTTTACCCCACGTTGACCAAATGAACAAGAATTCAAATATATTTAGAGACTCTTTCCAGGAAAATTCGTTTGCTCTTGCAACTCAAGCCACAGTGCTCAGTCGTCAGCCTGTGCACGATGCTGCCTTGGCAGAGGGCCCTGAAGACAACACCCAGCTTTTTGCCACCACAGAGGAAGCAACTTTGCTGTCTATAGATGCATCCTTTAACAACACAGAGAGGATGACCACTCTGCCAGTATTAAGTTCTACCCGTCCACCTGTGTCACAAAAAGTGGATCAGAAAAAAAGTAAGTTTACATTTTATTTGACTCCATAATGCTGACTCCCAAAAGTACAGAGCATACTGTTGGCATGCTTCCCAGTGTGGTCCTGTGAGTTCTAAGGAATGTGTCCCTTTTGATCATTTATTTTGTTGTGCACATTCCATGTTGCAAACGACTGGCTTCTTATCAGAACAGTTGATTGATCTGTTGAGGAAGATGCAGTAAATTCTTTCAGGTATGAAAACCTACAATACATTCTTCAATTGGTGATAATCATTAATGCTTACCAAGGCTGAAAATGAGTTGTTGCAGGCTGCAGATTGAATTTCGTATGTTTCTTTAAAACTGTGTAAGTAACAAGTACCTTCCTGAACTACAACCTTTTCTGTCTTGATGGCTGAATTCTTCTCTAATTTGAAGCAGTATTTCTATGTAACAGTAAATTTAAGTGACATTTCTGAGGATTATAATCAAAATGTCTAGATAGAATAAAAACAATTAACTGTGATCAGCATTCTTTGTTTGTTTGTTTGACTATGAAGTAGGTGCATATCATTAGTGTTATAATTTTAAATTTTATTGATTCATCCTGTCAATATCACCTGATGCTGTTTTGCTAACGGCTGAAACACTTGGGTACTCTTGAGCACTGTTTCTCTTGAACTGCTTATCATTCCTTAGCTCTTGATCCCACCAGAGCACAAAGCAAAACTTATCCCAGGTCACAGAGAGATTTGAAAAAGATGAAAGGAGATAATCAGTTACTTAGAAGTGGCACACTCTATTAAATGTATTTTTAAAATTTCTGTGAAGTGAAAATGGGGAGATGGTTTCTGGCAGTGGTGATAATTTCTGAAAGGCCACTGAACTACATGTTATTTTGAGCAGCAGGTCAGTGTGTCATTCCTCTGTTTGATTCTGTGCTCACTTAAGTTGTAAGAGCTGATAGTAGCTATCCAAGATTTTTTTCCTCGATTTTTTCTTTAAAAGCATTATTTCTTCAGATAAAAGTTGCAAAATAGCTCTGGTTTGTCTTTCTCTTGTTCTTTCTCAAGTGAAGTAAAAGTAGGGAAAACGTTTCAATAAGGCTTTCTATTTTAAAAATCTGGTACACAGAAAAGATTCCTTTTTGAGGATGTTACAGTGATATCTTATTTTCCCACTCAAAACGTAGCTTTCAAGGAAAATAACTTACTGTAAATCTGATTTACTGTAAATCTGTGATTTGTCATTATTTTCTTCTGACCCTTAGACTATAGTAACTTCAAAGGCCATTTGAAAGGTGCAAGCTTTCTGCAGGTTGTTTGCTAAGTGGTTTTTCTTAGACAGAATTATCTCTTTTTCTCCCCCTGCACCCCAAACTTAGAAAAAATAGGTATATAAATGCACAGTTGAATCCTATTAATGATTCATTTATTTACTTATTTGGTAGCTTGGCTAATTATCACCATTTTCCCTTTGATTATTGTGTTGTAATGAACTCTTTTGAGATGGATATAATATGTGTGTGTAATATGCATGCATGTGCATATGGGAGGTGATATTTTCCCTCCTAAGATGTGGATGCAGGAGCAGCACAACAGTGGCTCAGGACAGCCTTAGGTTGCTGAAAGGTTTCTAACCTTTCAAATATTTGGGGTTCGGTGTTATAGAGAGAGGCACTTTAAGCCTATGCAGGACTTTGTGTGTTGTGTTCTGTTAAGCACAGTTCATTATGCATGTGTATTCAGTAGGCAGTGACTACTTGGGATTCTACTGTGAGGTAATTGCTTCTGTGTGAAAAGAGAAGGATAAAAGGCTTTCAAAGACAAATTTGAAATACCACAGGTTTCTTTGAAAAAAGAAACCAAACAACAAAAAAAATATAAACAAACAAAAGACCAAACCCCTTCCCAAACTGAGATACTTCAATCAGGAGCTAGAATGTTACCAATCAATAACCTCTTAGTCTCGGATTCCACTTCCAAGTGTTTTGCTTATCTGTATTCATGTGGACACTGTCTTAATTCTCTGTGTAGATACATAAAAGATATGGGTGTCTTTATGTATTAGGGATCTAGAAGAATTTGGTCTCAGTGTTCCCATGGCTGTCCAAGGCATGGAGGACTAGAAAACAAGGGATTTTGACTAGCACACAGGGCTGCTCACTGCCTTTCTTGGCCTGGCCTCTGCAGATTTACTCCTTATACTTGTCCTTGGTCTCTCTGATCTCTCCTTTCCCGCTAAGCTTGACTTCTTGGAGAGAATCCTAAGGTAACAGAGAACATGCTCTGATGTCCACAGGAAGTTCTCATATATTCTGATGTGGAGGGAGAGGAGGATTAAGTGGGACATGAGGTAAAACTAATAAATTTTGGAACAGTGAAACTGGAAGTCTGTTGGACTAAAAATGATTATTTTTTTTTGGACAAGTAAAACTCAAAGACCACATGGGAATGGTGGTAGTAGATTAAGTGTCTCTTGCTTAGTGTCTGAATCCAGCTATGAAAATTAGCACATGCCTGAAGGACAAACTAGGCCTAGCATACCAAGACACTTCAGCATTACATGGTAGCAAATCCCAGTGATCTGCAGCGAGTCCTAATGAGTGTTCTCCCTTTTGAACCCATGTAAAATAGAGGTTTGAACATATCTGATAAGGAAATTAACCTCTAAATGAAGTGTGAGGCTGATGTTCCATCATCATCAATGCACACTAGCAGATCATCTATCAGTATAAGTTTCATCTGGGTCAGATGTGGGGAGGTGGATGCATTTCTGTTGATTTAGTAAGCATGCAGAACTTGGACTTTATACTGGTTTTATGCAGGGTGTTAAAAGACAAATGATATGTCATACAGCATAGAGACTACTAGTGCAAAGCTAATCAGTCAAAATTCTCTGAAGACATTTGGACTGACATTCTTGTGGCTGTTATGTTTTTGCTCAGATGCTAGTATCTGTAGCACTGGGTTTACTTTACTGGTGAATGGCAGCTTCAATAAAAGACAACAATAAGAGAAATGATAAACACTGTGACCATATGGTATTCAGTCAAGACTTTAAAATAACAAAAGTAAGACATTGCTGAGTTACTAACTGGAGAGGAATGAAATTTGGCACATATGACATCAATTATTTGAAAAGTCCTTGAAGCAGAAGGAAGTTCTTTGGCAGAAATTCTAGTAAAGAATAGATTAGTGGGTAAATGGGAATGCATGATACAACAAGGAAGAGATGAAGAAGTTTATTTTGATTTTACAATGCCTTACTGATCTATTAAAAAGCTCTTTGAAGGAGTCAGTGAAAATGCTGGTTAATACAACATACTTGGCTTTTCAAAATACTGTTAACAAGAGTCTTCATAGCAAAGTCTTAAAGACACTCATCTCACATACTACATGTTCATTAAAAGACAGAAAGAAAAATAAAAATTAATGGTTGGGCTCCACACTGAAGAAGGCTACTGATGGAGTCTTACAGGGTTTCCAATCTGGGGAAACAGTGAATAGTCAAGTAACAACATTTCTGGTAACACAGAATTATCTGTCTAAAATGGATAGTGGGAATTACATAAAGGTTTCATAGTGGAAAGAAAAAAATGACTTCGTGCCAGTAGATGCAAAAGAATGCTGAGAGTGGGGAAAAATGCTAACTCTATTGATTACAATGCTGGATTTCAGCTAGTGTTGCCACCAAAAAAGGAGCTGATAGTTTTTCTGGGTCCAGGACTGTTAAAGAACAGGGTGTTAGACACTGCCATGAAGTCAACAAAGAACAAAGCAGAAAAATCTCATTACATCAGTGTATAACTTCAGAAAGATAAAACTAGAATTGGAAAAGGCAATTAGCAGGCAACTAGACCAGTAGAGATGTGGAGTGGCTTAGATGTGGGGAGGCAGTGAATAGGAGGAAGACACCGTTTTCCTTCTGGATAACAGCTGGCATATGAGTAAGTGGTTGTGGTAGATGCTCATACCATTTTGAGTGTCCTGGTGAAACAGAACAATTGCTCACTGTTTTTCATTATATCAGGAATTGCCCTTCCCCCCTGCCTCCTCCATCAGGCAGTAAGTTTAAAAAAATAAAAATCCAGAGAGACATCATGGAACTCATTGCCACAGGATAATGGGAAAACCAGAAAGCATGAAAATGCTTTGAGAACTTGATGAGGGGTTGATCTATTGGGACATTTAGACACAGTAGTCCAGTGGCAATCTCTGACTTGTGAAAGTTCAGGTTTTTACATCGCCAGTTGTTGTTATACTCCTAGGTGGTTGTTCCTTATACTTGTCCGATATTATTGGAATTTTTCTTGAATATATAATGCTGGCCCCCTACCAAAGGCCAGTTTCTGAGTTAAACCTATCCTGTGTTACCTCTCTGCTGGAAAGCAAGTGAAGGAACTTTTTTTCCTGTTGAGGGGTTTGGGTTTGTGTGACTTCATATTTAAATGTTTTCTGAAGTCATAGGCCATGGTCCTAAGTCACTAGGATGGTTCATTGGAGAGTTTTCTGATAGCAAAAACATTAGGAAGAGGAACCAAGAGGTTCATTAGTGTATATCATGGAATTTAGAAATACATGCAGTAATATTCTGTTCATCTGTCAGTCAGTGCTTAGTAGAAAAAGATCCACAAATTAAACAGTAATTATCATAAATAAAAAGGATGTTTTTCCAAGATAAATATCAGTACAATTTTATTGGTACTTTTTTCTCTGAACCAAAAGCAGACTGTGGTTAGGCACTAAAGTGAGAAATGGATGAAGCAGACTCTGTTTTGTAAAACTGCTGATTTGAGGAGATGGGAAGGAGAGCAAGCAAGGGTTGACATTCTTCCTAGAAAAGCATCCTGTACATGAATGGAATATGCATGGGGACAAGAGATATTAGTCTATGATGTTGTTTCTTCCACTCCCAGGTGTGTATGCATATGTTTATTTAACATCCCTTTCTTGTGTGCATCAAGCCTCCTCTTCTAGCAAACAGTCTAGCAACCCCTCTGCCATTTCACAAAACCAGTTTGAGTAGAGAACTGTGACAGT